CCCGGGGACGGGATTTGGGAACCTTAGCTATGCGGAATAAATATTGTGGGAGGAGGCGGCACGGAAAACAGGAGCCTACGACCCTCAAGTTTTTGCCTTTTTTTTCTCATGAACTCCCCACCCGGCTCCCTGCCTTCTAGATCAGGGGAGAGGTGTAAGTGGTGCCCCATGTGCCAGGTACTAGACGCGCAGTTATTTGCCTTCAAAGGCAGGCGGGGTGCACCGCCCGGTTTTGGTTCCAACTGCCAAAGGCCCATTGGCTTGCATTTTTTTCTTGGAGAGAGGCGAAGGAATATTCTCTGATCCCCGAAAGAACCGAATCTGGGCCAGCTTCTCTTGCTGTTTAGTTAAACAGGTTGCAATGGCCCATGTAAGGAGCCCTTGCTTGTCTTCTTCCTCTGTTTACCAGCCAAAGTGACCCTGTGCCATTAGGTAGAACTGCGGCTTCCCTTAGGGGCCGCAAGGCCTAGCCTACCCAAGCAGTCAGCTTGAGTCGATGCGGGTGGCAGTTCCACCCTGTCAATGGTGCAAGAGATCTTCTTGGTGCTCCTCTTCCAGCCTTTCTGGCCTCCTATCCCCGGCACAGAGCCAACCCTGCTCTCCGTTTGGAGTTCTTTGCAAGACTGCCTGAGATGAGCTCCTGACCCCCCCCCCCCACCCCACCAGGCTAGGGAAAGGCTGAAGGCCCAGCGACTGCGTAGTCGGCCCTGGGGCACCAAGGATATGGCAGTGGGTAGCTCCTGAAATTCAACCCTGGTGGTGTGGACACAAAACCGCGGGACTTGGGCTCATTGCTCCTCACCCTTTCAAAAAACCGAAGGCTCCAGGTAGCTTGGGCCTGTGGCCCTGTACCCTGTGAAGGCGCTGCTCCCCCTGGAGCTTGTGTACTCTCTGATACTCCATGGCCTTCTGCTTCCAGGAATTTCTGGCTGGGGTTTCTCAACTCCAGAAATTGAGTTTATTGCTTTTGGAAGGATGGTTGGGAGGTTGGTGGGTACCCTGGGCGGCTAGTAGAGCAAGAGAGGGCACAGACACAGCGCCCTGGGCACTGGGTAGGTGCTGCCTCTGCCGCACCTGGTCTTCTGTATCACTAGTGCCCTAGGATATAATTTGGTGAAAAATTCAAGGGGGTGGATCAGAGGCCAGAACCAGGCCATCCGCCCTCCCCCCACCAGCAACTCCCTTTCCAGGCCCTGCCCCACACCGAAGTGGGGGCAGGGAATAAATAGAGTTGCATGGGATATGTCTTCCTGGCGCACACTGAACCGCCGGTGGGCAGGGGATGAGGACCTAGTGGAGCGCAGCGGCCAGGACAGCCAGCACCAAGTGGGCCTGGATGCAGGTCCTGGGAGGTTGGACCATTCTCCAGATTTCAGGTGATGCCCAAAAGACAGTGTGACTCAAGGGCTGCCTTTCAAGCGGCACCCGGAGCCAGGCTCTAGGGGCGGTGAGCGCTGTCTCTTTAAGGTCACTGCCTGCTCCGGCACGGCGTAGGGAGGACAGCTGGGCACTGGCCATCTGACTGACTCCGGCTTGACATCTGGGAGCCCACTGGTGTGTGGCACGCGAAGCGCTTGATGCTGCTATTTAAATGCAAATGTGAGGGGGCTCATTGAAGCCTCTCCCCGTAAATCCGCACAAAAGGAATACTTCCCACCCTCCAAGGAGGCGGCGGCGCGGCGGCAGCTCTAGGGCCACCCGTGCAAATCGCGTTGGGCTCGGGGCCCGGAGTGATCGCTGCCGCAGTCGCGGCCCGCAGGGCCCACGGTAAAGGTTGGGTCCTTCCCAGCTGGGTCCCTGGACGCCCCCGTCTAACCCTTAGGAGCTGCCTGGGAGAATGGGTTAGGTCACTGGCCGGCGCGGGTCTGCACAACTTCCAAAGTACAAGTCAGTTCTCCGGTGCTCTCCTCTTGGACTCTGGCTTCTTAGCTCTCCTAGAAACTGCGAGGTGTGGGGCGGGGCTCCTGAGGGAGGTGCTCCCAACACCTCGGAAGGCTCTGGGGATTTTGACTGGCAGCCCCTCCCCCACTGCCTGGCTTAGGTGCTCTGTCCCTCGCTGCCCATCAAATCGAAAATCTGGGGGTGGCATGGGGTGGGGGCTGCCCACCCAGGCTCCTCTGCAGCAGGCTAGGGTGGAGACCCTGCCTGGACGGCGAGACCTTGTGCTCACAGCTCAGAGCCAGCAGTAGAGTGACAAAAAAGATAAAGTTGGTGAATGATAAAGACCGTATTTTCCACGCTTTGGGTGCGCGACCAGATGATGTAGAAAATGAGCTGAAATGGATTCAGCCTCCGAGCCTGTTGTGAGACAGCTGATTCCCCCATTTCGGGCCAGATGGCTGCCGAACACAGATTTGCATTCATTTTCGCTTAATATCGTCCAAAATAGCGGGGCAGCTGCATTTGTTGTCAAAAAGGTTTAAAACCCCCTTTCTTTCTGGGGCAGGATCGTTACCTTATGTGATGGGCTTATGGAACTTTCTCTCCCCCTCTTTAGTCAACAGTATCAGATTTAGAAGGATTTGTTTTTAAACCTTCTAATTTGGTAATCAGATTTAAATCGCCTTGGCGCGTGTAATCTGAATTAAAGATACTGTAAATGATTTTAAGCATGACACTTGCCTTAGCGCAAGGACGGGCACCTACAGCTCAGGCTGGACATTTTAGGAAGTGTGCTACAAAGCAAGCATTGTATCCCTTTTCCAACTTCATCTCTGCCTAAAAAGGCACTTAGCATATTCTGTCATTGATGCTGGCCCTGTCGATCACCCTGTGTGAGCCCCCAAGCCTTGGAACACACAGAGACAAAGCGTCTCTCAACCTCACCCTCCACCCATGACCAACTTTATTCTGTGTTGTCTTTCCAGAAGAAAAGTGTTGCCTTTTGCATGGGGGTCTGCTGTGAGTGGAAAACGACGGGCTTATTAGGAATACAGAAATTTTCTTTTAATTTATCGTGAGGAGTTTCCATACACTTTGATTTAAGGTTATTAACATTCTATAGACAGTGGCATTTTTAATATGTGGCGATCGCTTCTAAAGACTAATCTCATTACCCTCAAATAGTCATAAAATATGATTTTATTATACTTACGTATTTAATTAGACGGCCGGCCCCGTAATGGATTTTGAGATGGGACTGGCGCAACAGCTTTGATAATTCACTTATCTTTGGCAATAGTCATTAACCCCCAACACCAGCAAAATAGATTGCTTTCCAGCACATCTTTTCTCTCACCCCTTCCAAGTGGCGTGTGGGGGCTCCCCAGATAACGCAAATCGGACTTCGATTTTCCCGATTAATTAAAATATTAACGTACACACGCCACCAATTCACAAAAAAGGAAGAGCTACCCCAGGCCCGGCGGGAAGTGGCTGCCCTGCGACACTTGCGCCCAGAAACCTTTCCTTTTTTTCTTCTTCTTTTAAAACCAGAAGGGCCTTATTTCTCATGGCAGGAAAGAGCCTGGGACGTCTCCAGTTCGTCCCTTGGGTTTCTGTTCCTCGTCGCACAGTGCTCCTTTGGGCGGGTCGGGCGTCTGGGAACCGAATCAGGGCCGCTGCCGGATTCCCAGCTGCCCTCCTGGTTCCTCGAAATCAGATCGGGGAGCCGCAAGACGCGCGCTCACCCAGGCCGGGCTGCGCAGAGGGCAGGGTCCCTGGCGCCTACCGCATCTGCTCTGCTTTTCAGGCGGTTGGAGCTGGGGAGATCTGGCTACTGCTCAGAGCGTGTAACAGGCTGGACACTAGCTCCGGGTGGCCGGAGAGGCCAAGCGCTCTTTCCCTCAGCCCAAAGAGGCCCAGCCTTCTTTGTCACTGCCGCGCCCAAGGACAGGCCAGGGGCCTGAAACTCTCTTGGCCATCGGAGGGAGAGGGGGCATCTAAAGGAACCTGTTTCCGACGTGGACCCCGGGCCCCGCACTCAGCAGGCTCTGTCTGGGTAGAAAGTATGGGAAACCCAGCAGGGCTCAGATGTGGGCACACTGGCCCTGCAGCAGCCTTAGGTCTGCCTAGAAATCATACTGAGCTGCTCCTCTTGCCCTGGTGGCGGCGGGGTGTGTGCAGCCACAGGAGGGGGTCTAGGCACCCTCTTTCCCCAGTCCGTTGTTGTTCCTCCCTCTCCTGGAATCCCTCCCGTGCGCTCTTCCAGCCTCTTCCTCCTGTTCCCTTTGGGACGCCCCAGGGCTAGTGCTGCCCTGGCATTTATTGTATGCTTGTGGGCGACTTGGGGCGCTCCTCCTCCAGCCCATGGTGTTTTGACTGTGTGGCAGGTCTTGTGGGCAGGTATAACGGGACAAGCGGCACTTATGCACTAGCTGCGCTCGTTTCTTTGCGAGATTTATTTGGGCGGGAGGTAACTTCCTCGGCTGCGGCTGGGCTCAAGGAGCCGTGGCGCGTGGCCGGGGGCGGTGGCGGCGCTCGGTGGCGCTCGGCAGCGGCGGGGCTCGCAGGGCTCGCGGGGCTCGGGCCGGCTCGCGGCGCCGTCAGGCAGTCAGTCGGCGAGCGCGGCGGCGGCGGCGGCGAGGGGCGCGGCGAGGGGCGGCCGCTCCCATATATGGCGCAGGCACCGCCCCCCGACGTCACCCTCTGACAGCGCCGCTCCCGGGGGCTTCGAGTTTTGGCTCCCGGGAAAGGGTCCATTCCTCGGGGAGAGAGGGCTGAGTTTTGTGCGCCTCCGTCCGCTGCGCGCGCCGCTCCAGGCCCTGCCGCGCCCCGCCTGCGCCCGGGACTGCGCCGCGGCACTCACTGCCCCGTTTATTTGTCTTTGGAGCAGGCGGGCCGCGCCAGAAGCGGGCGATCCCGCAGTGTCCTGCAGCCGCGGACGCCGCCTGGCTAGGATGACACCACGTTGAGTGCGTCTGCAAACAACAACAACAACAAGCGCCGCCGCGGCCACTGCGTCCACCGCGCCCTGCTCCTCCGAAGCGCCGCGCCGCCGCCGGTGTAGCCCGCCCGCGTCCCCGGCCGTCCGCAGCGCCCGGCCGCCGGTGTATGCCGCGCCTGCCCGGGACGGGCTGAAGCCGGCGGCGGGCCGCACCGCAGGCGCCAAGCAGGGCCGGGGCGGCCAGGGCAGCCTCCTGCCGCCGAGCCCCGAGCGCCGCCGACTGCGGACGCGCTTTCGGCCGGGAGCCGCAGCCGCCACCAGCAGTGTTCATGTTTGGGATTCAGGAGAATATTCCGCGCGGGGGGACGACCATGAAGGAAGAGCCGCTGGGTAGCGGCATGAACCCGGTGCGCTCGTGGATGCACACGGCGGGCGTGGTGGACGCCAACACGGCCGCCCAGAGGTACGTACCGGCCGCCCCCGCGCGCCCTGGCCCTGGCCCGGCCCGGCCCCCTCCTCCGGCCAGCGCCGCGCTGCTCACCGGGCCGCTGTCCCTTTCCTCCTGCAGCGGCGTGGGGCTGGCGCGGGCGCACTTCGAGAAGCAGCCGCCTTCCAACCTCCGGAAATCCAATTTCTTCCACTTCGTGCTGGCGCTCTACGACAGGCAGGGGCAGCCGGTGGAGATCGAAAGGACCGCTTTTGTGGACTTTGTGGAGAAAGAGAAAGTAAGTGTACACTGGCGATCGCACCCTCCCTCTCCTGGAGTAGGGGGCAGTCAGTGCCTGCGCATGGGGTCCGAGAGCCTCCCTCGGCAGCGTGGTGCTCTGCCCGGCGACCCCGCCGCCACGTGCGGTTGCACTGGCCCCGCCAAAGGCCGGGCGACTTCTCTGTGCCCTCGGACTCACTGGGGGCGAGGGGAACGCTGGGCTTGCGGCAGGAAAAGTGACATCACTGCGTAGCTGCGAGCCAGGAATCCTGCCTGCAGTGTGTGAGGCTGAGGGGCCTCGATCCTGGAGGGGGACCGATCGCGGTGACCGCGCCTGATGCGGCCACGCTAAATGCAATTATTTATCGTTGCTTTTAGGAGCCGAACAACGAGAAAACCAACAATGGCATTCACTATAAGCTGCAGCTACTGTACAGCAATGGTAAGTACCGCTGCCTGCTGACTGCCCTCTGGCCCTGTGTGCTGGCTCTCCCTTCCCGCGATGGTTCCAGGACATAAAGATTTTGAGATTAAAATGACATGGGTGTAAACACGAAATCTTCTCATGGCATAGAAGGAAAACAAAACATAAACGATCGATAAGTCGATGGCACTTCACATGATTAACCGGTGGGGCTTGAAGTAGAAAGTAAAAGGGGGATCGATAAGGGCTCCTGCAGAACATCACTTTTAAGTGACTTTTTTCAATTTTGCAAATTAATGTTAATTATTGAGATGAGGGTAGCTCCGTAAACCGAGCATAACTTACTTCCTGTGCACTGTTTAGAAAGAGAAGAACCCTCTAGAGGCGCTGGAAGGAGTTCGGACTCTGTTTCCATAGGTGCATTCTCTTTTGGAAAAATAAATGACCATATGGACCCAGAGCTGCACGCAGGCCCTGCTCTCCGCCAGGCAGACTTCTTACACCTCCAAATGCAAACCCTAAGAGTCCCGAGACTCTTAATTAAGAAAAGAAAAATGTCAGAGGCGACTGGGGTTTTCTGTCTCCCTCCCAATTTTGTAGGGATTGCCTTAAAGCTTTGCTGCTCAGTGGAGGCAGTAGTCCCAGACTCTGGCTTGCCGAGGCCCGGGTCTCCCTCCTGAGGTTCAGGCTAAAATCTTGCTGAGAATTTGTCCTTTTTTCCCCGCCACAGGCGTCAGAACAGAGCAAGATCTCTACGTCCGCCTCATAGATTCAATGACCAAGCAGGTGAGAAAGTTTACGCCTGTGTACTCATTGTTTTTTTCCTTTCTGCTGAGCTGGGGTTGTCCTGGGACTGAGAGAGCAGACTGACAAATGGATCTCCTGTATTTGTTTTTCATTTCGCTTCCTTGACATGCTAATGAGAATTCCATATTTATTGGAATAAATGGAGCGGTTGGTACAATAGTTTATGCTGTCATTAAAACAGGACATATATGCTTTATTAAATGACTTGCGATTGGAATCAAATTCTGTCTTAATTAATTATGGTAATTAATATTTGACAGAAAAATTTCAAGACCCCCTTGTTTATTTTTTAAACGTTTCTTCCTCAGTTCAGAATAATTTCATTGATCCTTCCCCCCTGCAAAGACAACTAAGTCTGTCCCAAAGCTCCTCGAGTTAAGCTCGATTAGTTATTTTCCCTCCTCCTTGCTAGTGTCATGGTCTAGTAACAGGAGACGTGCATTTGGATTTAAAAGTTAAATGTGCAGGGGTGAAAAGTCACCTTGTTCTCCTCTAGTCCATCTTCACCTCTCAGCCCCCCATCTCCATAATTCAGAGTCTGAGCTCCAGGGGTCACCGAAACCCATCCACTGCTCTGCTCTCTCTCCCACCCTCTGTCATACCTTATAAATAACATAATTACAAGCAGTTCCTTATTAAATTATTTAACCTGTCTTGGTCAACTTTTCTGATGATAACTATTGGCTATCAGTAATGTGATTAACTGCAGAAAAGCGCCTTATTGCTTTTTGACGGTGTTCAGTCTCTGGCTGCTCGTGTTGTACTTGGGTAATGTGTTATTGTTTTAAGGATGTCGTTTCCACTTTCTTAAAACAGAGCATTGGGTGTTTGTATATGGAATTTCCAGATTAAACACATCCTGCAATGATTCCTTGAGAAATTAAAATATACTTATAAGCAGCACCTCGCAGTTGAAATGAAAGTGGCCATTTCATTTTTGATGCTAACTTTTAGAATTGTGCTCCAACTGGGAAAGAGCCTTCCCCCAAGCCTCCTGCAGTCTGGCACACATGCCTCCCGTTCTCTGAGCACAGTTTGCACATTTTGTTTCTTTTTGAAAAAGTTTGTCCTTACGTAGGCAGCAAGAGCATGAGGTTTTAATGTCTGCAGTCGCAGAGCTGTGTGGTTTTTCTCCCGGAGCAAAGATCTGGCAGGTAAACCTGTTTTTCTGACACAGACTGTGGTATGCCCTTTTGCCAGTCTTGCACCGATTCACAGAAGCTCTGGAACTCGGCTGCTGTTTGTCAGGCGCCTTTTATTTCCTTTGTATGTCGGGCAGAAGGTTTTGCGGAATCCTTGTAGTCTAATTAGGAGGGTTTTGCAGGCGCTGTTAAGTTTCTGTGCCACACGTATGGGTGAAGCAGGAGGATTCGTTTAAAGTGCACTTTTATTGTTCGTTTCGCCTGGTACCTTTGCAGTATAGACGGTGCAGAAACAGAGGCATTTAATCTCCTCACTGACGGTGATGGGGGGGAAAGTAAAGAAATAGCCCAGTAACTGATCAAAGAGTCAATGGCGCTGAACCGACAGTTTATGGATTTCTGTTTGTGCTACAAAATAAAAAATAAATCAAATATAAATACGGGGATCATCGGAGGACAAGTCATTCGTTCAGAAGTACTGGTGTCGCCAAGGCCGCTAGTCCAGCAGCCCGAGGCTGCTTGTTGGCCTGTGGTGACTCTCACCACTTCTGTGGTTCTGAGCGGGCCGAGCTCCAGGCCGCGGACCAAGGCTGGCGGAGACTCTTCCCTCTTCCCAGGAAGCCAGTCCCGACGCCTAGCAGAAAGGGCTTTGTCCGCCTGGAAGTACAGGAAAGTGCCGGAGGAGGTTGGAAGTAATTTCCAGGGTGGGGGGGGGGGGGCGGGAACTGCCGAGAGGGCAGCCCTCCCCCTTGGAGGAATTTTCTGCCCGGAACCTGCGGCTGGCGGCCCCCGCCTCTCGCCCCTCCCCCAGTGGCCTTTTCTCCTCTTCTTTGGGCGAGGCGGGCGGCGGCGGCGAGGGCGGCCGAGCCTCGGCTCCCGGCGGTGGAGCCGGGCTGGGCGCCGGCGTGAGCGCACCTAGGGCTTCGCACCATCTGGCGGAGCCTCTGCTCAAAACCCACCCGAGCGTGCGCGCAGACACTGCCTTTTTACCCGAGAAAAATCATTGTTAGCACTTTGAAAATAAACACCAGATTGGCCATTAGCACTTTCTTTCCAAATATCATCGGGCGAGGAGCACGTGGCCGCGGGCAGGGGCGCCCCGAGCCCGGGCCCTCCTGCGGGCCGCCAGCTCCCCGGCATGGTGCGAACACGTGCGGCTGCTGTGCACTACTTCCCGCTGGTCGGGGACTCCGAGCCACGCAGTCCAAGTCGCACGGGCCTCCGCTCGGGCTGGGGGTGGGGGTGGCGGCGAGCAGGGCGCGGGGCTAGAGACTGGAGCCCGACCAGGGTAGCATCTCCTGGCTCGAGGAGGGAGGAGAGCTGCTTCTGCGCCTCGCGACCTCTTGGCGTCTGTAGTCCCAAACGTACTGCGATCGGCTTCTTCCGTCAGAGAATTGGGCCTTAGTGTAGACAATGGCCGGAGGATCCCACCAGGCTGCGGTGGCCCACGGTCCAGGAGCCCAGTGGGAGTCGTCGAGCCCTCCTAGGCTGAGCCCTGGTCTTGGCCGGTCCTGCTTAGCCCTCCCCGAAGCCCTCTGGAGTCCAGGTCGGACGTGCGCCGGTGGGAAGAGCACGGCAAGCGTGCAGTGCGAGGCCTCTAAGGCCTGGCCCCGTGCCTGGGGTGGTGGGGTGGGAGGGTGGCCTGTTATGTCTGTCGCCTCCCCTCGGGTGCTGTGCACCTGCCACCCGCGAGGCCTGCAGCGCCTGCAGTGGTTTGGCGCCCAAGCCACGGGCTCTGCGTGACCCCTGCCTCTGCTTGTCCCCCCACGCAGGCCATCGTTTATGAAGGCCAGGACAAGAACCCGGAGATGTGCCGCGTGCTGCTGACCCACGAGATCATGTGCAGGTGAGCCCCCGGGAGGCGGGAGGCCCCGGCGCCAGCCAAGTCTATGCAGTCGGCACTTGCAGGCGCCTGGCCACCCCACCCAACTGCGGAAGAGAGGGCATCCATTGAAAAGTAGTAGACCGGAGGCCCCAGGCTGGGCCAGAGCCGCTTCCTACCTAATTTCCCCATCAGTGATGATGGTCAGTGCGACCCGCTGCTCAGCCGAGCAGATTAACATATTGACCGTGTCATGGTAATAAAAAAGGAAAGAAAGAGAGAAAGGAAGAAAACAGACCAGGGGATGCCTCTGTCCTTGCGCAGGAGCCAGAGTTCACTGGGACTCATTTGACTACTCCCTTCTCCAATGCTCGCATCCTGAGATGTACAATTGTCTGTTATTGATAAAAAGGAAAGCCTTTTGTACTTATTACAGAGCTCTTGTATGTGAGAATTGGATTGTGATTCTGTCAGTTAACCTCTTCCCTAGAGCAGCGATGCATCGTTCATATTGTTGTTAGATAGCGTGCCGTTACTTGAGATCTCTGTCAGAAGAGCAATTTCCCACCTGTTTTTTTTCTAACTACCACAAGAGTTTCGCCCCTACATGGCGAATAAAAACGCATCATTGACTTTGTATGTGTGGCATGTGAAATATAGTTGCAAGGAATAATAAGCAAAGGGTGTGCAGGCTTGCAGCCTACAGTAGCAGTCCCCATACTCTGAGGGGCATACTCTCCTCGGCTATGGTTGCCTGTTGCCTGAATGCCACTTCTGAGCAGAGGTATTGTTACAGCACCAATATACAAAAGCTGACTTTTTCTCATATCAGGTAATAAATATAAATTACAACCAATAAAGTGGAATTTCTTTATTATCCACTTCTGCATGTACAGCAATTAACATAGAAAGCGCACAGATGTGATTTAAGCTCTAAGTGGAAGACTGTAGACTTTCTTTAATCACTTTAGCTGTCAGCTTTAAAAGGCTTTATATACTTTGCCTACCATATGGTGTTAATTTAGCTAATTTAGACATGTAACCATTATACAAGTATGCTTTTTTAAAATGCGAGAAGCATAACATTTTTGTTTCGTTTCTGCTTTAATTAAAGTTTCAATAACAGAGTTAAGGTGGGCTTAAAGAAGTGACAATAGACGTTTGTGATAGATTGATGCCTGCTTTTATGCTTATAATTAATAAATGCCCCCAAAGAAATATTGGTTAGAGGTGGCATCTTGCATCTTTTCCAGAAATAACAGCTTGACAATCGGAGGTAAACAAAAGCCGAAGCTGTGAAAAGCTATTCCCCAGCCTCCAGCCTTTCCTCCTCAGTTCACTGCAAAGACAAACACCAACAGCATGTTTTCTGCATTTTAGCATCATAATTTGTATAGGAGCTCTGGTGACTCCGCTAGTATTAATAGATGCGTTTAACTCTGCTCCTTCTGGCAGGAAGTTGCCACAGAAGTTTAGCTGAAGAGCATGCTAACTTACTAGGCTGAAATTTGTCAAGCTGCCTAAGTAGGAAAACTATTTTCTTGACTCCTACTGCTTCATTGTCAGACTTTGAAAAAAAAATTACAAGTCGGACAGAGGAAGCTGGGATGAATACTAAAAGCCATGTTTACAATTGCCCCACAGCCGGTGCTGCGACAAGAAGAGTTGTGGCAATCGGAACGAGACGCCCTCAGACCCCGTAATCATTGACAGGTAAGGATGACTTCTTTATGTTCCAAACAAAATGGTAGCAGCAAGCCAAACTCTCTGCCTTGCTTGGTTTCCAGTGGCTCCTTAGCTTTGAGGCTGCTGTTGGGCTCATCTTGTGCACTGCGCCATTTGTCCGCGTGCACAGGTGGGTTGACGTGGAAACCCGGTGGCTTGCTCTGTGGGGATTCAGTAATTGCTTGCGAGTTGTCAAGGGAAGCAGTTTCATCTGCCACTGCTCTCACTGTGAGGAGCACTTTATGCCTAGAGAGTCTCTGGCTTTAAACCCAGAGATATGTCATAAAATGCTTTCTGCTAATTTGTTAACAAGTATTTCATTTTTTTGCATTATTATTATTATTGTTATTATTATTATTTTTTTTACCTCGGATGGTCGTTGAAGTTGAAGCGTGGGTGGTGGTGCTCTTGCAGTCATCGCCCAGTGGTAGAATGAATTTAATCTGCTCTCAATTAGTTGCAAAATGTCTCCTAATTTTTTTTCAATTGTGGCTGTCGTTTTATGTCAAGTAGCAAATATGTAACTAACAAACCAAAGTTGTTATAATTGAAACTAATTACACATGCTGGTTACATTTCCAACATTAATTTCCATAACTAGATTAGCTATATGCATTCTTTAGGTTTGCTGTTCCTCATCTTGCCATTTATCATGTTCCTTGGGCAACGTGGCATCCTTTTAAGATACCAATCATTAGCCCTAATGGTGCTAATGTGCACTTGGCATTGCCTTAGTGGAAACAACAAAAACACTGCCACCCTCCGCTCCTGACTCACCCAGGCTATTCTGAGGAGGAGAGGAGATTTCTTTCTTCCCAACAATGGGGAGCAGCAAGGGGCCCAGTGTGTGATTGACTGCAGATTTTGAAATTGGTACCCAAATCGAATAAATGTTAGACGTGTATATATGACACCAGTTTTGTGAGGCAGAGGGTTAGACTGTTTTGAAGAGGGGTTGAGTTTCAGCAGCTTTCCTTACAAAGTTATCTTTTGATCATGAACTTTGCTGTCCAGGGTCTGAAAAATTAAACCCGGAAAACCCCACGAGTTAAGCCTAAAGAAGTCTGCGGCACCAGTGGGGAGCATTGCTAATGTTTAACTAGCTGGAATAGCTGTTTGCTTAGTGGAGAATGTTTGGTATCTGACAGAAGGGACAGCTCTCTTATTAGTAATCAAATAGGGCTGACCAGTTGTGGCCGTCAGTCAGGCAGTTGAGAACAAGTTCAACACTTTACGAAACTGGAGCTACAGAAATCAATGTAATTATATTTGTTTCGGTGTCGTGGCTATGGAAGTCATGCAGCTCTGGGTTGTTGTCTTGAGATGGAACACATTTTATTTTACTTTATTATTATTAATGTTTTGGAGGGGCTCAAAGTGTACGGAATAGCCATTGGAATCTTGTCTGAGTGGGAGATGCTTGAAAAGCATTAGCCTTTACTGCAAGATTGTGAAAATGCTTCCGCTCTCTACTTGGAGATTTTAAATGTGGTTTGGTTTTAAATCATAATTTAAAAAAAAATATGCCATGATGGTGGAGGGTCCATGTTGGTTTGACTCACATTTTAGGTGCTGATTTCCCCTTCAAAAGCATTTTGGGTTTGTTCAGTGTTCAATCACTTATTGAACATTGATAGGGAATAACATCTGAGACTCAGTTTTTAATCACATGATGGGTAGTGCTTTCCTCCGATCTACAAAATTTACTCTTCAGTTCTCCTCTGAGGGGGTCTTTCTTATATTTGTTTAATTAAAATTATGTAAGGACCACTCATACCTTTTTAACCTAAGAGAAGTATATGATCATTGATATTCTAGAAGCACAAGAGGAAGGGGAAAATGTGAAAACATTTGGTTAATGGGTTTACCGTGTTTATTTGAATAAGGAGGATTGAAGCTCCATTTACGCTTGGCATAAATGCTTCGGAGGTCTTAATTATTGATGAAAAATCTGCTCTGCTTCTAAATTCAAAGATATGACAATTTTATAGGAATTTTAATCACCGTCCATGTTAGGGATTTTAAGGTAAGGATAGTTTTATGTTCTGACAAATACAGGGAACATTTTTAGCATTCTTAAGAGAGCTGTCACTCATTGCTTGCTGTAAATCCCCGTGAACTGATTGTGGTATTGGCACTATCTCCAGTTTAAGGCGTATTTCTAGAAGGGGAAAAAAAATGAATTTAGTGTTTGCCAGGACAGCTTGTGTTAATCAAAGAGAGAGACTCATCTTTAGGAGGCGATCTCTTTGGAGCAGTGTGGTCATTTGCAACAGAGATGTGCTTCAATTTCATAATGATGATCGTTTCTGTATGCTGTGGACTGCCTCTGGAAATCAGTTGCTCCCGTTGAGTTTCAGCCTGGGTTTCCTCTTGAGTATTGCAGAATAAAATGTCCCATCAGATCGGTGAGTTTACAGGTCCCCAACAGTCCTGTCCTCACTTGGTTACTTGGCTTAAGAATTCTATACAGTGTGCTTCGCCGGCTTCTTATGGCCTTTGTATACATTTCGCAGGTTCTGACCAGATAAAGCATATTTGTCCTGAGGATATAAACCAATAATTCCAACCTGAATTGAGATCAATGGACCCACATTTGCTCCAACCCACACCAAGCTCCTTCCACATGTTGAGACTGCTTTGTGTGTTATGAGAACAGGGAAGTAAGCTCCCTGCTCTGGCAGGGTAATCACATTCTATAGGCCCTGATGCCTTAAATCAATTAATTACACAATTTAGTTTAGTTATCTTTCAGAAGTATTAGATACTTACAAATGGCATGGAAGACACTTCAGAGGAGGGGGGGGGTAGGGAGGATGTCTCCCATTAGAAATCTTTTCATTTATTATAAAGCTTTCCCTTATGTGAGATGCTTTGTCCTACATAAAACACTGTTCGAGAAACAGTTTTTTATAGTTCCATGTATTTAAAATAATATAGCAACTTACCAAGTCAAGAAGGAATATAGCATTCTGAAGATATGGCCTGTAAGAGGCAAACACAGGAACATATCTGCATATACTGAATTGACTACAAAGAGTCAGGCCTACCTCCTCATACCTCCCCCCCCCACGTGTGCATGCTCGCGTGTGCACACACACGGCCCTGCACAGTCAAGGCACCTCACATATGCAAGTGTGTGTATGCAAATGCATCCACATTCACATATACATACATGAATTTTTATGGTATTGCTGAGGAGGAAAGGAATATTATGTTCCTCATGAAATAATGTTTTCTGGGAAAACACAAAAGCAGATGGTCTTCATTAGGAACACCCATTGTCCACATATCCCAAATATGAGCAGATAAATCTCTCCTGTTTCACCCCGTACATTCCAAGGGCTGCAAGTGATTACAGGATGTCGGCGTAGCTGCTAAACCAAAACCACACTTGGGCTCACATTATTCGACTGTGCCATCCGGGTCTGTTTCCTCAGGAGCTCTGGAAATGCCTGGGGAAGGCACATCACTTTACCCTCCCCTTCCTCGCTCCGCTCGGGGAGCACTGAAACACAGGGTCCAACTGTTGCAGCCTGTGGAGGACTCAGGAGCAGGGCAATGCGGCTGCCCACTCGGACTGGCTGCACACCGTGGGTTGTGTGCAGCTGAGAGCATGCTCTGCGGGGCGGTTCCAGATGGCACTGTCTCTGGCGTCCTGCTTGCTGGCATCTCTGCAGCAGGCAGTGCCCCCTCCCCAATAAATCTGGCATTAGTCTATAGAGTTTGGGAGACTTATCATTCCAAGTCTGTCCCTACTTTCCTGTCTGGGAGCCAGACATCTGTTTATCCTATTTTCTTTCATACGGAGTTTGGAATGGCTGTAGTTTTTCTTTTTTTTGGGGGGGGGCGCATGAAGTTTTGTCATATTTAACAGCTGTTACAGAATTTCAGCCCTGTGGGCTCTGAAAATACTTTTCAGCTGACCTCAGATTTTTATACATAATTGACATTGGGTTGTAGAAAAACATTATTTGCTTAACCTCTCATTGTCTGCGATTTCACACTGTCTCTGGTCCGAGGGTGTAAGTACCAGAGATTTTAGCTCTGTGCTCTTTCCCAGCCCTCCAAAGCCTTGCTTTGATTCATCTGTGTGTTTTAAGTTTACACCTTTAAAGTGATTGCAGAACGGTAGCCCAAAAGGACTGGAGGTTTTCTTTTTCTCCTTTTCCTTCCCTTCTCTTTCTCTCTCTCTCCTCTCTCTCCTTTTTTTAGTCAACAGTGTTTCCTTTCACTTCCTGTCACAAAGGTCAAAGAGAGCCGACCTTTGCTGGCAGTCCTGCTTGCTGAATTATTCATGGGATTGACTTTTTGTCAGCACACACAGTTGTGCTCTGGGACAATTTATTCATTTACCTCATTTAAAGCCCCTTTCTGCACCTGTTCAAGTATTAATATCATGTAATTTGGGCCTAATGCCGATTTTGCTGAACACTCATTATATTTTTTATTAGCTATATTTCCAAACGATTATGTATGATTATTACCAAGCCTTACAAACAGCACTGGGTTATTCCCTAGCCCCTTACATCTTCTTGTCAGGTTGTTTTCAGAAGCAGGGTGGATAAACATTTGACCAGTCCCGATGTTTTTATTCCTACTCCATCTCCAAGCGGAGAAGTTAAAGCTCCCTCCCTCATGGCCTTGCACGAGCGTGATTAAATCCAACTCGGCGAAGCTGTACAAATGCCAGCGTTTATAAGGTCAACGCTTTTGTTAAAAATGCTATGTAAATGAGGATCTGCAAAAAGGGACATTAAATAAAATTAAATTCATTGTCTTCTTTAATGTCATTTACATTTTGGCTAAGCCTTGGCCTGTCAAGGAGGATTTTAAAAATAATTTTAATTACACATCATTTAAGGAACCCAAGGTTTTCTATTCAGTAGCATTTGGATAACCTGCAAAATGGAGACCTGTTTGATAACTTCTGAAATGATGGATTGTCATTCTGTATGCATAATCCAGCAAGGACAGCATAGTTTGCT